AATAATAACATTGTATTTAACGAACTTATTCGAACGAACTAACGAAAATAATCAAATAATAAATAACAAACAAACAAATTCACAGACTCGGACATACACATGAGCAGGGACGTAGGTGTAGACATTCACGGAGACAGACACAGCCAGAACCACACAGTCACACTCAGACACACAAACAATTTGACAGACACATTCACACAGTCACGAGCACAGAAATGCACACTGACATACTTAATCCGAAAGGCCGACTGGCCGGTCGGCTGAAAGGTTCACGAGCCGACAGACCGAAATATATTTGCATGAATCTGAGGATGGTTGGATGAACCTATGGTTGGCGAGACTCAAGAGACAGATAGTCAAGAGAACGGTCAATGACAAAAAGATCGATGGAAAGTATCATGGTACTTAAGGTCACATGTCTCCCGGTATGACCTTCCTCTCGTCTTCTAACCGTAACAGCGCGCGAGGCTGGACATCTCCCTCTTACGGAGACGTCGCATCGTGGCGCTCATTACATCCGGGCGAGACCTGGGGCGTCTGACGGGGGCTGCATACCAATGCGCGGGGCTCGGACGCGAATACCCAATGGCACAGGTGGGAGCCATCGGCGGCTTAAGAGCCACTGCACTTCGCGCCGACGGTCAAGTTTGTGCACTCGCGGCACGCCGTTCCAGGCCACGCACGTACCGCGAGCAACGACGTTGCGATAGGGATCTGGCGGAGGTGTTTAGCTTTACTCCGGTTTCGGAACCATTCAGCTTGCATTAATTCACTTTCTGTACATCCATTCTCATCCCAAAAACTGCCCAAAGTAGTCGGAGAGAAGAATTACTAGAGCACTTGTATTGTAAATCTAAATTCCACGTTTTGACCAACACTGTTTTCGAAATCAATGTGTCAATGTACATCACTTGCTATTGTAAAAAAATCACAAAAAAGTTTTTATGTTTCCTTTACAGCGTAATTCTTCATTATTTTCACCAGTTTATTAAAATACTCTTTGTTGAATAGTTTAATGATGGCATTGTCGCAGAATAATATATATGCTAATAAATTATTCAAATAATTACGTACTAAATTGTGTTCCTGAAACCAGGTTAACAATCTATTCTATTGGACAAAACTACATACAAATACCAGCTGGAGTACCGCCGTGCAGATTCAATTAATGCGCACTTCTGAAGTGTACATTAATAAATCATTTTATTTACATCCTCGCCATCACCACCACGCCCCGCTCCGCCTCAACATGCTCCTTCTCACTTCACTACGCGTTGGCAAGCCTCACCTGGCCGTCCCCTTTCCGGCCCGCCCGCTCCGCTCCACCGTCCCTGTCCTGCTCCTTCAGAGAATTAATTTTGAAAAATGTTCTATCCTTTCAATCAAATAGTCTTGATCATGTCTCATTTTTTCATTTACATTAATGTATTAATTAATTAATTAATTAATTAAATAGGAGAAATATACCAAAACGACCCTGAAAGTACAAGCTTTGTTAGAGGTTAAGATGAATAGCTGATCGTAACTGTACGATTAGCATTAACGATGGCCAGATGTTGGGTGGCTGATACACTCGTTTTCAGGCGATTTCCGTTGGTCGATTGGGGTCCCGCCCGCGGCGGTGGTGGTGGTGGCGGCGGCGCTGGCGGTGGATCGAACCCCGGCCCTAGACCACCTGCCGCCGGCAGCACCGGCTTCAAAAAAAGAGAGGAACAGTGAGGAGAGAGAAGAAGAAACAAGAAGAAAGAGGGAGAGGGAGAGAGAGGGAGAGAGAGGGAGAGAGAGAGGGAGAG